GATGAGTCCTTCCTGAATCTTTGTTTGCGAAGAAAAGCCAGAGAGATATGGCATGTTCCAAAAATCTTCATGTGCAGACTTTTTGTTTTCTGTAGAAGGAAATACATGTATCGCATGTGTGGCAGTCCCCTCATGAGAAAAAGGGAGGAACCTCGCAACTACGCAAGCAAGTTGTTGCATGTCACCATATGGCCTTGGCAATTGCATGCAGATTTCAACAATATTTCACTTCTTGTCTTCAGTATCTGACTCCCCAGGAGCACAGAGACTTAATAAGAAAAGGCAAAAGCCAGTGCTCACTAGATGAATAGGACAGCCCAGGACTCACTTAATAACATTAGGCAGTTAATCAAATGTGAAATGAGAATTGTATGCGATAATCCAATTTTGGCTGCAATGAAAATAAATTATCATAAAGCTGAAAAAGCACAGGGGTCAGTCAGCCTCCTGAAACAGTTGCTTCTACTTTTTAACGGTCAGCCCTCAAAACGATCTTGATACCACCAACAGTACATCCCTTGTGGGTCAGGCACAACACAGCACTGGTCAGAATAGAGTATTGGTAGTTCTTCAGTAGGTCTCATTCAGAAAACCCAGATTATTAACTCCTGCAGGAACACTTCCACAGAGTTTATCACACAGAACAATGTGGGGATATTTTGTCCCAAGGGAAGAATTCCCACACATGGTGTTTCAATCCCCCATATACCAATGCATTTGGCTGCTTATAACACACTAGATTCTAGCTCTCTTTTTAGAATTTCTTTTCCCTTAGTGATTTGATATCTCTTGTAATTTGAACCCTGTAATATTGTTCAGTTTATACACTATTTGCTATTCATTGCTTGTAGCTGTTAAGGTATTGTCAACACAGATGGAGGTTTCTATAGGCACTTACCTGTGTAGTCTCTCTCCTGGTTCATTCTCAGACAACCATCCATAATTAAAATAAAATACATTTTCAGTGCCATTATGTCTAATTTATAAATTACAATAGCTGCTTCTTTTTTGTCAGATAAAATTTTAATTCTTTTTGTTTTTACTTCGGTGAACAGAGAAGATTTGATTTTTATCAAGTGATTTTACATCTATTTAGAGACTACATTTATGGATACAAACATATGCAAATTTAAAGATGTACATTAAGTTCCATGTATATTTATTTTAAATGAACACTGCCCAATAATTGAGCTGCAATAATAAATCAGCTGTGTATGAAACAAGATAATAAATATGGTAAAATCTGCCACAATTTTTCCCAAGAATGTTATCTAGCAGCTCCTCTACTTACATTACAGCATTTTTACAAGTTTGCACAAGAATCTCATCTGCCACAATTCAAGGTGAGAGGATTAAAAATACCATCTTTCATTATGCAATTACAGGTTATGAGAAGCTCTACATCTTTGTATAAAACATTTTCGTTATTTATGTTAGAATTATTAGTGAATTTACCTGCAATGCAAGTTTTGATTATTACTTAGTACAAGACAATACTGCTGAAATAATGGTTCTGATTCAACATAACACAGATGAGAATCTTTTAAAAAGGATGATCAGCTGCACTGGAATATTACTGAGTGGGATGAATCCAGTTCCATTTCCCATCCCTGAACAGCTTCTATATGAGATTTCAGAATTTTACAAAGGGATAGCTGCCTGCACCTCTAGTTGCTGAATCAGGCTGGGAAAGTACAGCAGCCATCTGAGTATATGATTTTCTGTCTAACCTAGGACATGCGCTGCAGAAGCAGGATAAATGTAAATGTGTATCTTCAAAGTCACTTTTTAAAAATAACCATACATATTAATGGAAACATTAAACTTACATTTCAGATGAACATCATGGCATAATTTGCTATAAGGTGAAATACAAACTTAAAATAAGTTAAAGGTACTAATAGTGGAGGCTTTAAAATGCTGAGAAAAATACTTTTTGTGTGAACCTACTGAACCAAAGCTTGCATCCTGATCCTGCTTAACATTTACTCATAAGTACATCCAGTTGAGGCATACTCTCAAGTAAATGTGTAAAGCATCACAATCTTAATGTGAATTCCCATTTAAAGATAAACCTCTTAAGGCACTGGCAACTGGGTTCATTGTAGCTGTAGGCTTTGGCGTAAGGGTCAAACTCTTAGCATATCTAGAAAACTTCAGATTTCTGGCCTTTTGAATGCTATTCAGGCTAGGACCAGAGTGTCTTGTAGGAATGTAGCTGAACCCATTCAGTGATAAATTCTGGTCCAATTCTGTTTGGCTTTTCTTCTTGTTACAAG